ACACACTAGCAATTGCAACGATGCCAAGAGTTCGCGAAAGGGTGAGCGTATCCTGCTCCCCCAGCGGCGCCCATCACAGACACATGCAGAGGCAAGTCAATTTTTCGCCTAAAACGCACGAGAACATATAGGAACACACTATTCTTGTTTGTCAGCTCCGTTGATGGAGACAAATGGCATTTATAAGTTCCGGGTAACCACCAGTTTTCGCATGTTTACATCTCTTCAGTATTCTAATTACACACAAACAAATTCTTCTCAAAATTAGTATAAACGTCTCCGTCTGCACAGGAAGCTGTCAGCTGACGGTTATGCCTTGTCTCTCAGATTGGCTACAAAACAAACCACGTCACCGAAATCTCAGCCAATCTACAATTCTTTAGCAAGTTTAGAATTCTTAATTTTCAATGATAATGAAAAGATTCCATGATCTGCTTTCTAATACACATTTTAATATACAATAAATAAAGGGAATACGTCAGTATGCCTCTGTTTCAGGGACAAATAATTTAGCGATGTAGACTCTAGTCTTAAAGGAAAGTGGTATCCTGTTCGCGTTTCCCCAACAGCTTGGGAGACCCCGCATGTGTTGCAGCGTGGGGAAGGGATACTATTTTCCTCACAAGTACTGATTGATATAGTCCAGATTGGAAGTACTAAGGTGATACAGCGTAGAAGGAATTACATACTAAATGCGTCAGCGTAACAGCAACGTACTGGGAAAGACTGACACGTGGGCGTGGCTATTTCAGAATGAAATGTACCAGGGATTACCACCTGTCAATCACTTGGCTGACGTCATAAACTTTCAGTGGCCGTGAAAGACCTTCTCAGCCTGCTCTTTACTGTTATTGAATTGTTTAACACAGTGAGATTTGACCATGGAAGACCCAATTTAAAACAGGCTCGGAAATGCAAATCTAGTTTTAGATATGTAACATAATATAGACATGACTGTTTCATTAATGACTGGGTGTGTTCTGTCTCGTCGGTGAGTGTTATTGTAGGTTGTGTAAGGGATACCCAGCTCGCCAGTTTCAGATTTGAAATATTACAGCAAATGTCTCCGTGCGGTTGACTTACGCTTGACTTTCAACACAAATACATGTTTTTCGACTTTATTTTTATCTTTACTTTGCGTGCGTGTGTGTCCCTTTGTGAGTGAGTGAGTTGGTAGGTGAGTGAGTTGGTGAGTGATCGAGTGAATGAGTAAGTGTGTGTTGTTGTTTTTTGTTATTACACCCATTTTAGTATTATGCCAGTAATAGCACGACCAGGCTTTCAAGGCTCAGCGTGGAATTGAACCCTAAAAAGATTAACACTTACCCCACTGTGTTTATCGGAGAATGTATTGCATATGATATTCATCAAATGTATATACACACACCTCACACACGTGTCTGTATACACGTTTCTCACACACCACCTGTCTATACACACACCTCACACACCACCTGTCTGTATACACATTTCTCACACACCATCTGTATGTACACACAACTCACACACCACCTGTCTGTATACACATTTCTCACACACAACCTGTCTATACACACACCTCACACACAACCTGTCTATACACACACCTCAGACACACACCTCACACAACCTGTCTATACACACACCTCACACACCACCAGTCTGTATACACATTTCTCACACAATACCTGTCTATACACACCTCACACACCACCTTTCTATACACACACCTCACATACCACCTGTCTATACACACACCTCACACACCACCTGTCTACATACACACCTCACACACCCTGTCTATACACACACCTCACACACCACCTGTCTCTATACACATTTCACACACACAACCTGTCTATAAACACACCTCACACACCACCTGTATATACACAAATCTCACACCATCTGCCTGTACACACATCTCACACACCACCTTCCTGTATACACATCTCACACACCACCTGCCTGTATATTCACACACTACACACTCACACACACCACCTGCCTGTACACACACCTCACACACCTGTATACATCTGCCTGTACACACACATCTCACACACCACCTTCCTCCTGTATACACATCTCACACACCATCTGCCTGTATAAACACCTCACACACCACCTGTCTATATACACACCTCAAACACACCACCTGTCCGTAGACACATCTCACACACCACCTGTATATACACACATCTCACACCATCTGCCTGTACACACATCTCACACACCACCTGCCTGTATACACATCTCACACACCATCTGCCTGTACACACATCTCACACACCATCTGCCTGTACACACATCTCACACACCACCTGCCTGTACACACATCTCACACACCATCTGCCTGTACACACACCATCTGCCTGTACACATCACACACCATCTGCCTGTACACACATCTCACACACCACCTGCCTGTATACACATCTCACACACCATCTGCCTGTACACACATCTCACACACCATCTGCCTGTACACACATCTCACACACCATCTGTCTGCCTGTATACACATCTCACACACCATCTGCCTGTACACACATACACACATCTCACACACATCTCACACACCATCTGCCTGTATACACATCTCACACACCATCTGCCTGTACACACATCTCACACACCACCTGCCTGTACACACATCTCACACACCATCTGCCTGTACACACATCTCACACACCATCTGCCTGTACACACATCTCACACACCACCTGCCTGTATACACATCTCACACACCATCTGCCTGTACACACATCTCACACACCATCTGTCTGTACACACATCTCACACACCACCTGCCTGTACACACATCTCACACACCACCTGCCTGTATACACATCTCACACACACCACCTGTATACACATCTCACACACCCTGTACACACATCTCACACACCATCTGTCTGTACACACATCTCACACACCACCTGCCTGTATACACATCTCACACACCACCTGCCTGTACACACATCTCACACACCACCTGCCTGTACACACACCTGCCTGTATATACACACATCACACACACCATCTGTACCTCTCACACACCACCTGCCTGTATACACATCACACACCACCTGCCTGTACACACATCTCACACACCATCTGCCTGTACACACATCTCACACACACCACCTGTACACACATCTCACACACCTGCCTGTACACACACCTGCCTGTACACACATCTCACAACACCTGCCTGTACACACATCTCACAACACCTGCCTGTACACACATCACACACCACCTGCCTGTACACACATCTCACACGCCACCTGCCTGTACACACATCTCACACAGCACCTGTATATACACACATCTCACATATACATTATCTGCAAGGAATATGACGGGGGAGCATCCTGCAGGCATTCCCCTTATTTCCTTCACTGTACATATCACACCCGTGCTCCTCAACATAAGGACTCTCCGCTGGTGTTCATAAGCGCACTTTGTGGCCGGAATGCTTAAGGGGTTTCGTGAACAATCAACACAAAAAATGCTCTCGTTACGCTGAAATTGAAGACCCTAATGAGGATTTCCTTCCGAATATAAGTGTAATGCAATATTCAAATTACATCAAACTGACTTTTGTAATAAAACAACATATATAATTACACCGCCGTGGGTCAAATGCTATTGTATGGTGGCACAATGAGCTCGTATTCTTGCGCAGAGTAAACAAGCCTTCACCAGGCATTCATAACGATAAATATTCATAAATTTCAGTTCTCCTCGCATTATGCCAGCATATCACCAGGTAAAGCAAGCCAGCACAAAGGGGATATATTACTAGTATTCATATGATAATAATGTAATGACCCCCCAGGGGACTCGTTCGACGCTCGTGTCACGACATAGTCCGTAACAATGGGGACTAAGACATGAAAATTACAAGTCAGTTTGAAAATTAATTATATCTCCGTAGAGACTTCATTGATTAAGTGCCTTTCGGCATGCAAAGATATAAAGACATGGGTATACCTTACAGCGATAAACACGTTGACAACACGATTGACCCGGTTAAAGTTCTGTGATTCTTTGTACTTGTTGTTATAATTCCTCACACCGGCGTTATGACACTAATTTATGTTACATAAATTAAAGATGTGATTCAATAGGTTTCGGGACCCAGCCCAGCACTGCGACGTAGCGATCACGCGTGGAGGAGACAGGTGGGGCAAGAAATTGTACCCTAAGTTCGGTGGGGTTGCTGGATACTGTTCAAGCGACACAATGGTTCTCAGTCATAAATAAGTACATTTTTGACGCGGGTTGACAAAGGAATGTATGCCAATATACTCTTGACTTAATTACCTTCGGCTAATGTTACAAAGCTCAAAATATAACTATTAATTCCACCCGCTTAAATCCAGCCAGCTTATAATAGGAGTCAAGTATCCTCCCAACCCTCATAATTTTAGTCGAAAGAAAATAACACACGGCGGTTAATATGGCGGTTAATCCACTTTTGGCGGCCATCTTGAGAAATTATTTCTTCTGCTTCCATAACATGTGATCTTGTTCTTAAAGTATTAACCGCTTGAATATTGGTTATGTGGAAACTAGGATTTGTAGATTTTTGTATTTTGAACATGGGGCTATTATCGAAATGTATATGCTTCAGGTTGTGTTTGATTTAGAACGTGATAACTCTATTAGGCGGAAAGGAAGTTGGATTTTCAGACTTTCCTTATTATTGCAGCAAATACAGGGCAACAACAGACAGATGTATGGTAAAATGAACGGTAAAACGTTTGAAATGTATACTTCCTCAACTTATGTAGGTATAAAGTCTTACGGATGAGAACAAATGACATTTACCTATCAACCATAGGGGAAAACGTCACACAAGCGCTGCCAGCCAAAACAGCTGAGCCATACGCTCCATATATATATATATGTGTGTGTGTGTGTATATGAGTCAATGAATCTATGCATATTCCAGGTGCTCTCCTGGTATCCGAATCTGCTTTTTTTGTCTTTCCCTGTCTTGATTTGTCTTGCCTTGTCTTTCCCTGTCTTGCCTTGTCTTGCTTTTCCTTACTGTGTGTTTGTTGTTTAACGCCGCACTCAGCAATATCCCAGCTATATGGCGGTGGTCTCTAAATAATCGACACTATACCAGACAATCAAGTGATCAACAGCAGGAGCATATCGATCTACGCAGCTGGGATACGATGACATGTGTCAACCAAGTCGATCCCATTAGTCGCCTCTTACGACAAGCATGGGTTGCTGGAGACTCTAACCCGGATCTTCACGGATATTTTCATGAGTAAGTGAGTGAATGATTGAAAGTGATTTTCCGACGCTTGTGCCATTACTCCAGTCTATAACGACGAAGGAGGAAGCCAAAAGAGGGTGTCAAACACCAAGTGCCCGTATGGGGAATCGAACCCAAGTGTTTGGTATGGCGAGCCAACACGTTCACCACACGACTACACTAACGCCCTTTTTCACTTTACCTTCCCTCTCACTTAGTATCGTTTTAACAGTACAGTATCAAGTTTTGAATTCTATATCAATAAACATGCCAGAAAACCATCGGAGAATTTAATTGCTGTTCATAGAATAATAGACATTCGCTGCTTGCGCTGAAATAAGGTCAATCAGATGTTCAAGGTCGCTGAACTTTCCTTCAAACCTAACACGCCAACAGCGCGTCTACCTGCACAATATCACTTTCCAAATGTTGGTTGTATTAATTGTCAAAAATGGAAAACCAAACGTTTGAAGCCATTGCTTGTATCAGGTATATTTATTGCAGAACATAACGATATCGCTATCCCAGCACAGATACCCGATTTGGCGAGTCAAAACAATATGAGCGCTTACATGAATGTCAGATGAAAAAATGAGGATATTATTTAACATTAATGTGAAACATAATATGAGCACTGCATACTGGTATACCACACACGACTAATATCTGACAATGCTACCGTATTTATTGTGAACATTAAAATCTCGGAGAAGAGTCAAGCGTTCTGATTTTATACGAAATCAAGGGTAAAAGAAGCCTTTTTGACATAGAATATACGTTTAAACAAAACTTAAAAACCACCTATTCTTTATATTTTTATATTTTGAGCTACATGAGACTTACCTCATTTTGGATAAATGTTTAGATACGTGATGAAACGTTGGTACGGGAACACAGAGAACTGTAACAAATATCGCATAGAAGAATCGATTCGGTTTCTGTATGATATGAGTTTATGACTTCGTAAACAAAAACAAATGCATTTCATCGGAAGAAAGTACTGGATACGTTTGTCATCGAATTCCAAATGCGTAAACCGATGCTCACCATGTTAATCACTGGATTGTTTGGTCCAGACCTGATATCCCAGACCATTGTTAAACGGGTGTAATGTTTTGTGTGTGCGACATTAAACGTTTAACAAGTAGCCTGTACTTGTCACGTGACTGTAGTTTCCCGAGCGGCAATTACACATTTCTTATAATGCATGGCGTCAGAAATTGCGCGAAACTCTGGCATTTTAACATTCATCGTCAACTGTTTGTTTCATTAAATGAAATATACTACAGGATACATTAATGACGTTTAGTGATTCCTAGTATATCCGTTGGTCCAGAAACCCAGTTGGGTGAGTGAGTGATGTCGGTGTAACGCCGTGTTTCATTTACATCGTGGTGGGTGAGTGAGTGAGTATTGCTTTACGCCGCTTTTAGCAATATTCCGTCAATATCACGACGGGGACACCTGAAATGGGCTTCACACATTGTGCCCATGTGGGGAATTGAACCCCGATCTTCAGCGTCACGAGCTAATGCTTTAACCACTAGGCTACCCCTCGTGGTGTCTCAGTTTCGTGTGGAATGAAAACCCCAAAATGATGCAGGCCTTAAACTGTTACCACTTTGATGAAATCTACACAGGTATGACATAAACAAAACCACACACAAAACCAAGAACACCTAAATTCAGATTTACGAGATCAGCTTCCTGGCAAACCAAAGGGGAGTAACTTAATTTACAGCGCCCAGCAATGTTTTCGGAAGAATAACGCGTTCATCTTCTGTTACAGTAGGGACCGCCTCCGTGGTGTAGTGGTTAGAGCGTCCGCCCGGAGAGCGGAAGGTCGAGGGTTCGATCCCCTGCTGCGCCATACCAAAAGACGTTAAAATATGGTACTTGTTGGTCCCTGCCTGGCGCGGCGGCAATGGGTACAACAAGGACTGGTCGGCTCGGAGTCAGTATAATGTGTCTGAGTGTCACTGCGGCATGGTATCTCAGTGAGCTAGCACTATAAAACCAGCTTCAGTCTGGGGTAGTACAAGCAGCCACACATACACACGCATGCACGTCGTCATATGAGCGAAATATTCTCAAGCACGACGTTACACCCAATTTCACCTCACCTCACCTTCTGTTACAGTAACTATGGTAACTACAGTAACTACGGTAACAGGTAAGTATGGATATTATACGCGGAGAAATGATGTATGCTTGATGCAGCAACTGAGGGGCGTATGATACCTCGAAATACGATCGGGATAGGGATGTGAAGTGTCCAGTTCCAGTAACTCTACTGCTACAGAGACATCCGATAGACATGTTTACAACCTCTGACTGTAAGCAATGCCGGCTGGGTTGTATTTGTGGGGCGGTCTCAAATATAAAGAAGAAATGATATATCATTTCGCTATTCATTAACAATCAGTTTATACGGGTGTCACGAGGGTCGGCTGTACACATTCCTGTCCCTGTATTGTGGGTCGGATTGGGTTCACGCGCAGAACAATAAATTGCTTATCCAAGCGGAGATTTTTTTCTAGAATATGTACAGGGAATATGTTTTCTCCTGTCATTTCATACGCTCGTGAAACGTTTGTCGTCTCCAGGTGTAACATTTACTATGAAACCTACCCTTATCAGCTGTGACAATCGCGAAGTATAGGTACATGTGTGGTTATACTCATAGGTAAAAGTAACGCTCATCAGGCTCCTGTTTATCATATTTGCAGAAGCACCCTGAAGTATAGTCTGAGATTTCAAAGAATGATGGTCTATTTTTTAATAATAATTGCATTTATATAGCGCATCATTCACTAATAAATGCTCTGTGCGCTTGTTGTTGTTGTTTGGTTGAATGTATCGGAGATTTATAATAGTATGGTATATAATTGGGTAGAAGAAGTCTCCCCTTCTTAGGAAAACACTGCTGTTATATTCACCCTAACTGTTGTTCTTGGGGTCACACTTTCACAGTAAAGTATAGATTCTAGGTATGTTCCCCCTCCACACCTTTGTGATAACTCTTCTGAGTTCCTCTCCACAATAGTTTTGTTTTGAGCCCGATTCACGAGCGAGAGTATTTCTGTGTCAGGCTGACGTGACGTGAATTGACGTGTCTTTCGAAACGCAACTGTAGTGGCGGATAGGTCCAGGTATTCCTAAGCGAGTGAGTTACGTTTTACGCCGCACTCACCAATATTCCAGCTATATGGCGGCGGTCTGTAAGTAATCGGATCTGGACCAGACAATCCAGTGATCAACAGCATTAGCATCGATCTACGCAAATGGGATATGATGACATATGTCAACCAATTGCAAGTTAGCCAGCCTGACCACCCGATCCCGGCGTGTCAGCTAATTGTTATAGGGAACCTGAAAAGATGCACGACGTTTTTTGGTTGTTGTTGTTGTTTTTTCTGTGGCGTCTTAATTACTTGAATAGTAAGCATTCAATAAAGACATTTGACTCACACGTTTACCGCTTTGGTGAAACCACGAACAGGGGCATGGTGTTGACAAACTCAGCAACATAAACGAGATTCGAATGCTCCATCACAGGATTCTGGTGTCTGAAAGGGACGCAACTCAACACAGTACTGCACGGGCAGACCTGGACGACACACGTGTCCAAAGGTATGTTTTTTTAAATGGTATGAAGATAACATACACTGGAAAAAAGACATTCAGTCCGCTAGAGAAGTTTGAAAATACAGGACCTCCAAGGTTTGGCTTAAATTTGCTACCCCAAGATCCCCGCATCAAAATGTAATAAAGCTATTCTAACCCACCCTGATATTCATGATAGTTGATTGCTATGTTTTAGTTCAACAGGAATAAAAGCTGTTGTCCTGATGCATCGCTTCCTGTTTACTCGGGGCGGTGTGGTAGCCTACTGGATAAAGCGTTCGTTCGTAACCACGAGGGCCCGGGTTCGATTCCTCACATAGATACAATGTGTGAAGCCCATTTCTGGTGTGCCGCGCGGATATGTTGCTGGAATATTACTATAAGCGGCTTTAAATGCAACTCACTCCTGCTTACTCGAACTCAATCAACTCGAGATATATCGTTATGATGATGCCATGCTATGTTCAATACACCATCTGTGACGCAATATCTCGATATTACAAATCTTGAATCATTTTTCACATCCCGGGAACTTCGAGTTAACATACTATACTAGTATATACTAAATCTCGACACAATACGCGAAACTGCCTCGGTCTATAATACATTCATATTCTTCATTAAGTACTCATTTTCTAGTTTTTAAAGGTTATCGTTTTCACCTGATAGGGCTGTGCCAGACATTGGATTTATTTTTGTGGGTAGGTTGTAACATTTTATTGTTCATTAAAAACTTTGTTCGTAAAGTGCCATAGTGTAGTCCCCTCTGACATTGAGACATAAAACGAAACAACTTCAGATAGACGTTCCTTTTCGCGCATCTATGTTTCTCAACCGAGAGATGGTTTAGTTTCCTGCGCACACCTCATAAATGTCTCAAATCAGAAATAGCTTTTCTTTTTCTACAATCGCTCTCTGCCACAGCTAGAAACTTTACAAACTAGATTATCTTAAGAAAAAAACTCTCAGCGAATCTAACAAACACTGAATTGTTATTAAATTGGGAATGAAAATACTCGTTTACAACATTGATTAGAGAGCCATCATCGCGAAGTAAACTTTGTTAGGGAATAGATAGCCGATGGTGTCTATTTGTATACATTTATGTGTGTCGAGGCTTAAGACTTTAATCCCCAACAACAAAGGTTTTCTACCCAACCTGAGTATCACATTGTCGTGGATATCACTGCAGCTGAATTACAGGTGATACCAGGGGGTGGGGGTTACTGGAAAAGTACCAATGATTCAAGTAAACCTCTCAACAGGTTCAAATGGTAGAATTGGTACAATGAGTAGTTGTAATGTACTACTGTGGTTACAGGGGTAGTTGGTAGTGGAAGGGGATAGTTGGTAGTGGAAGGGGAGAGTTGGGATAGTTGGTAGTGGAAGGGGATAGTTGGTAGTGGAAGGGAGAGTTGGAAGTGGAAGTTGGAAGGGAGAGCTGGTAGTGGAAGGGATAGTTGGTAGTGGAAGGGGATAGTTGGTAGTGGAAGGGGATAGTTGGTAGTGGAAGGGGAGAGTTGGTAGTGGAAGGGGATAGTTGGTAGTGGAAGGGGATAGTTGGTAGTGGAAGGGGAGAGTTGGTAGTGGAAGGGGAGAGTTGGTAGTGGAAGGGGAGAGTTGGTAGGGGAGAGTTGGTAGTGGAAGGGGATAGTTGGTAGTGGAAGGGATAGTTGGTAGTGGAAGGGAGAGTTGGTAGTGGAAGGGATAGTTGGTAGTGCAAGGGATAGTTGGTAGTGGAAGGGGAGAGTTGGTAGTGCAAGGGGATAGTTGGTAGTGGAAGGGGATAGTTGGTAGTGGAAGGGGAGAGTTGGTAGTGGAAGGGGATAGTTGGTAGTGGAAGGGGATAGTTGGTAGTGAAAGGGGAGAGTTGGTAGTGCAAGGGGAGAGTTGGTAGTGGAAGGGGAGAGTTGGTAGTGGAAGGGGATAGTTGGTAGTGAAAGGGGATAGTTGGTAGTGGAAGGGGAGAGTTGGTAGTGCAAGGGGATAGTTGGTAGTGAAAGCGGAGAGTTGGTAGTGCAAGGAGAGAGTTGGTAGTGGAAGGGGATAGTTGGTAGTGGAAGGGGATAGTTAGTAGTGAAAGGGGATATTTGGTAGTGGAAGGGGTAGTTGGTAGTGGAAGGGGATAGTTGGTAATGGAAGGGGATAGTTTGTAGTGGAAGGGGAGAGTTGGTAGTGAAAGGGGATAGTTGGTAGTGGAAGGGATAGTTGGTAGTGAAGGGGATAGTTGGTAGTGGAAGGGTAGTTGGTAGTGGAAGGGGACAGTAATGGAAGGATAGTTAGTAGTGGAAGGGGATAGTTGGTACAGTGAAAGGGATAGTTGGTAGTGGAAGACTACAGGATAGTTGGTAGTGAAAGGGGATAGTTAGCTGTGGAGCTGTGAAAAGGGATGGTATACACATATACAGCAGGATAGGTATAGCTGGAGCTGTGGTGGGATGGAGTATAAGGTGCTGGATGGTGGTATGGGTATAGGCTGGAGCTGTGGTGGAATAGTATAGGCTGCTGGAGCTGTGGTGGGAGGTATGGTATAGGCACTGGAGACTGTGGTGGGACAGGTATAGGCTGCTAAGCTGTGGTGGGAAGAGTATAGGTGCTGGACGGGTATATGCAGCTGGAGCTGTGGTAGGATAGGTATAGGCTGCTGGAGCTGTGGTGGGAAGTATAGGCTGCTGGAGCTGTGGTGGGATGGGTATAGGCAGCTGGGAGCTGGTGGGATAGGTATAAGGTATATGCAGCTGGAGCTGGAGCTGATAGGCTGCTGGTAGGATGGGTATAGGCTGCTGGAGCTGTGGTGGGATGGGTATAGGCTGCTGGAGCTGTGGTGGGATGGGTATAGGCTGCTGGAGCTGTGGTGGGATGGGTATAGGCTGCTGCAGCTGTGTGTGGAGGATGGGTATAGGCTGCTGGAGACTGTGGTGGGATGGGTATAGGCTGCTGGGCTGTGGTGTGTATAGAGGGATATGGGTATAGGCAGCTGGAGCTGTGGTGGGATAGGTATAGGCTGCTGGAGCTGTGGTGGGATGGGTATGGGATATAGTATAGGCTGCTGGAGCTGTGGTGGGATAGGTATAGGCTGCTGGAGCTGGTGGCTGTGTATAGGCTGCTGGAGCTGTGGTGGGATGGGTATAGGCTGGAGCTGGAGCTGTGGTGGGATAGGTAGGTATAGGCTGCTGGAGCTGTGGTGGGATGGTATAGGCTGCTGGAGCTGTGGTGGGATGTATAAGGTATAGGCTGCTGGAGCTGTGGTGGGATGGTGGTATAGGCTGCTATGAAGCTGTGGTGGGATGGGTATGCTGGAGCTGTGGTGGTATGGAGTATAGGCTGCTGGAGCTGTGGTGGGATGGTGCATAGGCAGCTGGAGCTGGGTATAGGCTGCTGGAGGAGCTGTGGTGGTATGGGTATAGGCTGCTGGAGCTGTGGTGGGATAGGTATAGGCTGCTGGAGCTGTGGTGGGATGGGTATAGGCTGCTGGAGCTGTGGTGGGATGGGTATAGGCTGCTGGGATGGGATGGTATAGGCTGCTGGAGCTGTGGTGGGATGGATAGGTATAGAGCTGCTGGAGCTGTGATGGGTATAGGCTGCTGGAGCTGTGGTGGGATAGGTATAGGCTGCTGGAGCTGTGGTGGGATGGGTATAGGCTGCTGGAGCTGTGGTGGGATGGGTATAGGCTGCTGGAGCTGTGAAGGGATGGGTATAGGCTGGATCGATATAGGCTGTGGTGGGATGGGTATAGGCTGCTGGAGCTGTGTGGTGGGATAGTATAGGCTGCTGGAGCTGTGGTGGGATGGGTATAGGCTGCTGGAGCTGTGGTGGGATGGGTATAGGCTGCTGGAGCTGTGGTGGGATGGGTATAGGCTGCTGGAGCTGTGGTGGGATGGGTATAGGCTGCTGGAGCTGTGGTGGGATGGGTATAGGCTGCTGGAGCTGTGGTGGGATGGGTATAGGCTGCTGGAGCTGTGGTGGGATGGGTATAGGCTGCTGGAGCTGTGAGGTGGGATGGGTATAGGCTGCTGAACTGTGGTGGGATGGGTATAGGCTGCTGGAGCTGTGGTGCTGTGGTGGGATGGGTATAGGCAGCTGGAGCTGTGGTATAGGTATAGGTAGCTGGGAGCTTCAGCTGTGGTGGGATGGGTATAGGCTGCTGGAGCTGTGGTGGGATGGGTATAGGCTGCTGGAGCTGCTGGGATGGGTATAGGCTGTGGAGATGGGTATATGGGTATAGGCTGGCTGCTGGAGCTGTGGTGGGATGGGTATAGGCTGCTGGAGCTGTGGTGGGATAAGGTATGCTGTTTGGAGCTGTGGTGGGAGGATGGGTATAGGCTGCTGGAGCTGTGGTGGGATAGGTATAGGCTGCTGCTGGACCTGTGGTAGGTATGGGGTATAGGCTGCCAGCTGTGGTGGGATGGGTATAGGCTGCTGGAGTTGTAGGTGTAGAAGAGGGATGAGTATAGGCAGTATAGGAGGAGGTGTGTGGTAGGATGGGTATATATAGGCTGCTGGAGCTGTGGTGGGATGGGTATAGGCTGCTGGAGCTGTGGTGGGGATGAGTATAGGCTGCTGGAGCTGTGGTGGGATGGGTATAGGCAGCTGGAGCTGTGGTGGGATGGGTATATAGCTGCTGCTAGGTGTGTAGGCAGGGATGGGTATAGGCTGCTGGAACTGTGGTAGGATGGGTATAGGCTGCTGGAGCTGTGGTAGGATGGGTATAGGCTGCTGGAGCTGTGGTGGGATGGGTATAGGCTGCTGGAGCTGAAGAAGGAGGGAGTATAGGCTGCTTGAGCTTGCTGGAGCTGTGGTAGGATGGGTATAGGCTGCTGGAGCTGTGGTGGGATGGGTATAGGCTGCTGGAGCTGTGGTGGGATGGGTATAGGCTGCTGGAGCTGTGGTAGGATGGGTATAGGCAGCTGGAGCTGTGGTGGTATGAGTATAGGCTGCTGGAGCTGTGGTAGGATGGGTATAGGCTGCTGGAGCTGTGGTAGGATGGGTATAGGCTGCTGGAGGTGTGGTGGGATGGGTATAGGCAGCTGGAGCTGTGGTATAGGCTGGGATGGGTATAGGCTGTTGGAGCTGTGGTGGTATGGGTATAGGCAGCTGGAGCTGTGGTGGGATGGGTATAGGCAGCTGGAGCTGTGGTAGGATGGGTATAGGCTGCTGGAGCTGTGGTGGGATGGGTATAGGCTGCTGGAGCTGTGGTGGGATGGGTATAGGCTGCTGGAGCTGTGGTGGGATGGGTATAGGCTGCTGGAGCTGTGGTGGGATGGGTATAGGCTGCTGGAGCTGTGGTGGGATGGGTATAGGCTGCTGGAGCTGTGAAGGGGATGGGTATAGGCTGCTTGAAGCTGTGGTAGGATGGGTATAGGCTGCTGGAGCTGTGGTGGGATGGGTATAGGCAGCTGGAGCAGCTGGATGGAGCTGGTGGTGGGATGGGGTATAGGCAGCTGGAGCTGTGGTGGGATGAGTATAGGCAGCTGGAGCTGTGGTGGGATGAGTATAGGCAGCTGGAGCTGTGGTGCAGGATAGTATAAGCAGCTGGAGCTGTGTGGGTGTGATGGAGACTGTGGTGGGAGTATAGGCAGCTGGAGGTGTGTGGTAGGATGGGTATAGGCAGCTGGAGCTGTGGTGGGATGACTCAGTATAGGCAGCTGGAGGTGTGGTAGGCTGCTGGGGATGGAGTATAGGCAGCTGGAGGTGTGGTGGGATGGGTATAGGCTGCTGCAGCTGTGGTGGGATGGGTATAGGCAGCTGGAGCTGTGGTGGGATGAGGTATAGGCTGCTGGAGGTGGGATAGTATAGGCTGCTTGATAGGCTGTGGTGGGATGAGTATAGGCTGCTGGAGCTGTGAATATAGGCTGTTTGAGCTGGAGAAAGGAGAATATGGCTGCTGAATATAGGCTGCTTGGGCTGTGAGTGGACTGAGGGGTGGAATGGAATAGGGTGTGGCTCTATTAAATGCATCACTTCAAGCCTGGAAAAGATATTATTATTATTATTATTTAATTATCATATAAGCAGCCAGGTCAAAATAGCTCGATAAATGTGTTTTTGTCGTTCTTGTTTAATTTTGTTATTGCATGTGAAATAAATCACGACTCTCGTGCCACTTTAATAGACGATTCATATGTCACAATTCTATCTTTAACCAAAAAAACCATTTACATAAAATACAAAAGAAGGAAACAAATGAACTCAATGCCATCATTCACTGGCAACGACAACACGGTCGAGCGTAATGTACGGCAGTATATATATTGAACATTCGATATGACATACCGTAATCGCCGTAATTAGGCTCCCTGTCACACGTGGAGTCTTTGAAGTCATACATAACGAGTTATATCAGTTTTCAGAGATCGAACGATCGGGAACAAAATTAATTTAATCGATAGTATTAAGTCTGTTTTGGTGATAGTTACAGGTAAATCATGATAGTTACAGGTAAATTATTATAGCTACAGGTAAATCATGATAGTTACAGGTAAATCATGATAGTTACAGGTAAATCATGACAGTTACACGTAAATCATGATAGTTACAGGTAAATCATGATAGTTACAGGTAAATCATGACAGTTAAGGTAAATCATGATAGTTACAGGTAAATCATGATAAATCATGATAGTTACAGGTAAATCATGATAGTTACAGGGAAATCATGATAGTTACAGGTAAATCGTGATAGTTACAGGCAAATCATGATAGTTACAGGTAAATCGTGATAATTACAGGCAAATCATGATAGTTACAGGTAAACCATGATAGTTACAGGTAAATTGTGATAGTTACAGGTAAATCATGATAGTTACAGGTAAATCATGATAGTTACAGGCAAATCATGACAGTTACAGGTAAATCATGATAGTTACAGGCAAATCATGACAGTTACAGGTAAATCATGATAGTTACAGGTAAATCATGATAGTTACAGGCAAATCATGACAGTTACAGGTAAATCATGACAGTTACAGGTAAATCATGATAGTTACAGGTAAATCATGATAGTTACAGGTAAATCGTGATGGTTACAGGTAAATCATGATAGTTACAGCTTAATCATACTCCCCTCTGTTCTGCTGTTTCCTGTAACAGTTTTGTATTTTAAACAAGAGAATATGGACAGGTTCATTTTCAGTATTTGTACTAGGGGCTGATAACTCAAAACGTAAATGCTGACTTAGTGGTTACGAATACACAATCAGGGCTCCAGATAAGGGCCGTATCGGCGTATGTAAAACAATTGCACGATACGGTAGGAAATAATTTGGAAAACGTAGCAGATACGCACCACGGCAATGGTGTACGGTCTTAGAATCATTTACAGACGTATTTATCTGAAAAAGTATTGTTTTATTGCATATTGATCTGTTTACACAAGACTAGCAATGTTGTGGTGCATATATGAAACGAAACACAAGATTACTGATACTCCATTAAATTCCATTCAGTACTCTAAATGTAGGCTTAAGGTTTTCGAGTACTCCTATATTGAAAAAATAAGGAGTACATACTCTTGGTGTTCAAAAATTATCTGGAGCCCTGCACAATGCAATACACAGTATGGGTTCGAATCCCGATTGGGACTCAAAATTAGAAGAATTTGTACTTAACAGAGAAAGTGTAATCCAAGATATTTCATATGTGACTTAGAGGTCAGTCAGGGGTGTTTGATATGGCAAATACCGTACTTGATTACTATATGTATCCACGTCCAAGTCTCTCTGCCCTATCTTCCCTACCTCTCCCCAGTCTGCCTTGACTACCCCTCACTGGTCAGTTGAGCCCAGTCACCTCACTGACCACTGCATGGAATTTTAAATTTCTGAAATAGCGTCGTCATTCAGGTGATCATTTATGTACAAGAATTCGCCCAATCCTAATTATAACCAACAAGGACGCCGCGCCGCCTGGTGCTTCATAAAGGCACCATTGTTTTTTTGGTGTAGAGGACAATGCCACCTGTTGACCACAAACACTGGTCTTTGATGTGTCCGCAAAGTAATTTGTACCTGGAAAATGTGACATTTCTGTAAACAGGTAGCGTCGTCCATGAGTGGTCGTGCGATTTTGTAAATTGACCTTAAATTCTAATTTGTATGTTTTAAAGAAGACAACAATGTAAGGGGAAGGTTTAGCTGAGAATGAATTGCACTTGCCGGTACTCCGAGGTTGTTATCGTGCACTTACCTGAGCATTCCTTGGCTTCAAGTTCCATCGCTGGCTACCTCCATACCTGTCGGGAATGATCAAAGGAAAATTAGTAAAAACACGATTCAATTATACACATATTAATATTCGTGGCGACTCTGATGATTTTGTTATGCCTAACTCCCACTGACAGAAATTTGAAATGGGGTTTATTTTTGTTTGTTTGTTGTTTCACGCCGCACTCAGCAATATTCCAGCGGCGGTTTGTAAATAATTGAATCTGAACCAGACAATCCAGTGATCAATTAACAGCATGAGCATCGATCAACACAGTTGGAATACGATGACATGTGTCAAAGAAATAAATCAGTGGGCCCGACCACACGATCCCGTTAGTCACCTCTTACGACAAGCATGGGTTGCTGAAGACCAATTCTAACCCGGATCTTCACGGGTGAAATAGGGTTAATAATGATAGTGAGTGAGTTTAGTTTTACGCCGCTCTAAAAAATATTCCAGCAATATCTTGGCGGGGGACACCAGAAATGGGCTTCATGCCTTGTACCCATGTGGGTAATCGAACCCGGGTCTTCGGCGTGATGAGCTAGAGCTTTAACCACTACCCCACCTCCCTTTAATAATGATCGGTCTGTCGGTAGTGTACCAGATTCTTTCACCACGTGAATGGTCATTGCGCTACATTATAATCCCGATGATGGGATCAGTGCCAGTCAAATTTCATTCTCAACTCCCCGGGGATAATACAATAAATCTCTATACTCCTCTCGTCTAGGTCATGTCGGCCACTGTCAATGTCCGCACGGTGGACTAAGAAATGAAATGCCTATGTATAGTATAGTGGACACTCGGTAATCCGGAGTTACTGTCCTTGCGAAGTTATCAAGAATAGGAGGCAGTGGTGTGAAATATAGGGATGTGCATGCACGTGTGTGTACATGAGCGAGTGTGTGTACATGAGCGAGCGTGTGTGTATGAGCGAGAGTGTGTGTATGAAGGAGTGTATGTGAGCGAGTGCGCGTGTAGAAACGCTGACAAATCCAGACTCCTTTAAACAGTTTTTGATAGTGTCAAGATGTCTTTTGTCATTCACTCAGTTACAATTGTGTACTTGCTATTGTCCGCCATTCGAACACGTCGGATACTTTTCATACAACCATAAAGTTAGACGTTTCCAGTGTGACAAACAACCTTTCCCTAGGGTTGACCACTGTATCCAATGTCCAATGTATCGATATGACCGGTTCGGGCAAACTTATCTTCTGTATGATCAGTATTGGTCCCGTGACAAAATAAATAGTTACAGAACTGCCTTCTTAAAACATCAATAAACCAGTAATAACTACCTTTTCCGATTTTTTGAAATTGAGAAACTTCAAACCTCAAACTTTACCCTCCCTGGATCGGATGGAAAATTACTTGAATTTCGATCATGCTCCTGTGTTGATGAGGAATCTCTATCAAGCTATGAAAAAAACACAGATATCTTTGACCAAACAGTATCTTAACATACAGCATATATAAAATCTTAAACACATCCCGTTCACATCAAATTGTGAATAAAAAAAATAAAGGTCAGAATATAGCCAGTCCCAATTATCCAACGAAACTGTTTTCACTGTAGGTAAAACGCAATTTAGCGGCGAAAAATATGTATAAATGGATCACTCAAAACAGCGATCACACCAGGTGTTCATAATCAAAACAACTGATAATATTTAAGTCTCAAGTACAGCAGGAGCTAAACTGCCTAACCACATCGTATCACACCTGTATGATTGTCGTTGATTGGAACAAAATCCTTTCATTCTAACAGTGGTAATGTGCTTGGAGAAATCTTAAGAGCAATAATCATGGTCGCTGATTGCTGAAAGATTCAATACTCTGAGATCGATGAACAATAAACATTGTTTGCTGATTCTAAAATTACGAAATGATTTGATACGCTGAGATCGTACAACAAACATCATTGTACTCAAGTCATCAAGTTACACTACATCCAACTGTGTTAATTATCTTCCAAACTATCAAAAAGTCTTTTCAACTTTGGCGAAGGGCCCAATGGCGTCTGGAATAATTGACTTCAGTGTGTCCAGCATTATTTAAACCGTATAAACGTCACCGACTTCAAACGGAGGGTAATTAAAGCATACTGCATCGTGCAAAGGTTAACATTTGCCTTTTACCTTGGACATATATCTCAAATCATTGAAATTTTAAATGCGTTAAATTCAACACGTTGTTTCTAACCGTCAGTGTTAGTAATAACGCAATGAGCTCCTAGCCGTCTCATTAGAGCCGCGATGTTTCCGATACGATATAGGAAAAAATGGTTTTCTCTGTCAACTCCAATTCTTTCAGAATACCTCCCTTACCCTATCCCCTTCGTCGCATGACACTCTAAAGGCCTGTGATAGCTGAGAATGTTTGTTAGTAAATGTTATGTTTACCCAATGGGAGTATTTTGGGCGAAAATAGAAAAGAAGCAGAAAATATGAAGCTTTACAAACGCGGGTAAAATATCAATCGCTGAATATGGCATAACTCCCATTCCCCGTTCAAGGGATGGACGCCACGCCATGCATGACGATCATGCTCAAACGTCGTCAAATTACCGTCAAGTATTTCTCGTGTGGGGGTAGCAGAGAAAACCTGGGACCCCGGGGACCGAGGCTTTGTCTAGACACACGGTCATGTGTCAATATTTAAACCCCAGAGGTAAGCGCCCAATTTTTACAAATTTTATGTACACGGGCTAGCGTTCACAAAGGCATCATTTTGTGCCGTGGCGTTGTGTCCACCTTCATCCCGTCGGTCCCAGGTAAGAAGCTGAGGGGTAGAGCCAAGAAAATGAAAATTGCATTCCGAACATACTCCTCGCATGCCAACATCCCCGGCGTTATGCAGTCTTCAGGAGTTAGTCTGGTAATCGGGCCTCGTGTTCTGTCATCTCGCGCATGCGTAGCGATCCATGGATGCCAACAAAGAAGGGAGATAACCCGTACAGTAGGACCAACAAAGATGGACGGCTTGACATGATAAAGGGCCCCGAAAACAAATATTACAATCAAATATAGTGAAATGGGGACTACATAATTCTCGACAATGCTCCCGTTACGAAATACAAAGCTGAAAAGGAAACATACCTCGAAATTCCCGTGTATGCAGGAATTTTCGCTCTAAGTCTCCTGTCAACAAATAATCTCCCGTAATTCTTCATTACTTCTTCAAGCGCTTGTTTTTCAGCGAACCAATATTTGTTTACACTTATCCATGTTTGAAAAGATGCTTAATTAAGAATTTGAATTAAAAAGGAATGCATTTGAATTCAAAAGCGTTTTATTTTTCATTTCAGAGAGCATTTAATCAACAAAGGACATTAAATTCATACGGTGGGTGATGTATTTATAAAAAAAATATAAAACCGTAAAAATTAATACCATACTGTGTAGGTTTGTTTATGAAATGAGTGAGTGAGTGGTCTTTATGGCCGCTTCTATCAACATGACGTCAATATTGGTCTAAGGACTCTTGTTAGATTCCTGACATGGGTACAATATGTGCAGCCCATTTCTGGTGTCCCCCGCGGTAAATATTGCTTAAAGAGGCAAACTCACTCAATCACTCACTCAATCACTCACTCACTTTCACTCACTCACTCACTCAAAACTGCCGATTCTGGAAATATCTAAGACATCGTTTGTTTCCGAACGAGTAAACGAAATGTTCCGACACGTTTTCCGAATGACAAGACTATCCCCTCGTCACCGCTGGGGATGTTCCGATCTTCATTATAGCCCCAGACAATCATCAGTGCGACGTAATTGAAACTGAAGGTAGTATTAATTCAAGTTGAAACGTTCATGTATTTAAACGAGAGCCCTATACCTACTGCTAATTGACGTTTCATCATTTCAACAGCATTGTCACCTTTCGTTGTGAAGAATTGTAATGGTGTTGAAATGTTCACGACTGAGGTCCATAACTGAAGAAACAGAGTGTATATGTGAGAGGATAGGCAGCGTGATTAGGTCAGTCCAGATAAATAGCGGGCAGGTATGTACATCCGTGATGTTAGCTTGTTCATCAGGGGTGTTGTCCGATTTATCTTCCGATTGTTTGACAAGGGGAGATAACTCGTACAAGTCCATAAACTTTCATTAATTCCGCATCTGCCCTCGTATTTCTCCACGTTTATAGAACCAGAATGTGATTGTGACAGATGCTATCGCCGGACAATCTCCGAGCCAATCTTCTCCATTCCAGCACCACGTGCAACTTGAGAACGTGCACGAAAATAGAGGCTCAATATGTTTATTATTAACTTTATCTTCCCAGCTTCGACCACTTTGTGGTGTTTTTACCTTATGATTCACCTTAACGTGGCGATAATTGGGACCGGAGTTCATTAATTGATGTCCCTCATCTATCCAGGATGATTTTCTCGCGCCATTTCCCGCTAAAACGTAAATGCAGTAGATAAGCTTGACGCTGACATTTCAACAACATCTATTGTTCAGGACATATGTAGAATGGCGAAGGTTTTACTGCGTTTTTATCCTGCCACACAAACCCAGACCCAGGTCTGCTTCTGTTGGACTCACCCCTGCCCCTCAACTGCTGAAACATGTAATTAAGGGGGACCAGCGTTCTGCCTAATTAATATCACCGATGTCATACATCCCCCTTCTACCTACTATCGCCCTCAACCGCCTGTGTTTCGCTTCAATGTCTACCTTTATCGACTAGTTATTACTTGCGCCATCTAAAGGTCACAAGTGCGGGTCATCAGAGCTCTGCTGACCAATCCAATGTGATAGCAAGCTTTAAGCGTATTAATCACACATGGTATACAAAGTGGTCAAGCTATAACGATGGGGGCAAGGATGAATTTTATGACGTTAACGCGCTTGCCTGGCTCCAAGCGCTGGCCTGGAGATAAGATGACCATTGTTCCTATGATGGCCGACGGTCAAAATGACTAATGGATGAACGAATCAATGTCCAGCCATTTTACAGTCTGATATAACAAGTATAAAAATGTTCCAGAATCTATAAACTGTTATGCGATATGCGAGGCGCTGTATGGGTGGCAAGATGCCTGCTATATGAAGGCTAGATAAACCAGCAGGGTAAGGGACTGGTTTGTGTCAGAATTTGGGGGAGGGGAAATTTCTTTGAGCGTGAGAAAATGATATACTGGGCGTTTTTCCATCGTCATAAACTTTATTGTTTTATTATCATCAGACGAGGAATATAACCGCTCGCTTTGGAAGAAAACGATCCACGCGCCCACCTTTCATGTGACAAGGATAAATAGCTAAATCTAAAAAACGGTACATATTATTTACTTCTTCCATAATGATTCACAACCGCCTGAGTACTATGTGTGGATCGTTGCATCAAATGATATCTTGTATTATCTAACATTTCAAACATAAACAGTGGCCATGAAATTTTAACGCGAATATAAATACAAATAAAGATTGTTTTAAACATTTGAAGTGGAATGTAAAATGAAACAATTATACGGCATAGGCATCACGATGGATGAGGTTATCCTATGCCTGTGTGAAACAAACAGCGTCTTCACAACAAATAAATTCTTAATGTACAATGCACAAGATAGATTATTTCGAGCACGAATAACGTTTTCGCTCTGCAATTCTGTGTTGTTTTGTTTTTCGCTTGTTGAAATTTTGTGTTAATAAAGTGTAACCTTGTTTAGTCGTAATATTTAATGTTCTTGCCAATTATTGTTAATTTTAACAGGAACTAACGAAATGCTTCTGACAAGCTGGTAATAAAGCGTGCTGTTTGATTTGCAGGTTTTATTTGTGTTTTATTCCTGCGAATTTTACTCAGAACATTAGACTCTGGTTTTACATGGTTGAAATAATTGTGTTAGAAGTTCGGCTTTAAAGGAAGAGCAGATAATCCTATCCAATTTGTCACTCTTTGCGAGTTTGTGTGTGTGTGTGCGTGCGTGCATGCGTGCGGGTTAGAGCATTGTTGCAGCCCTTGCACGGCGTGTTATGTAATGAGGAGTGAAATATACCCCATTGTGATGCAGGCGGGTCCAAACAAGCCTGTGTTCAATCTTATATTTGACTTTATTTCAGGAACTACCAGCATACGTAAATCTGTGTACCCACCACACGTGTGTTAATCAAAATAGAGCCTTTTTATGTTCTTAGATCAGCTAGACATGGATTCGAATGCCAGATTTGCCCCTGAAAGTAAAACATTCAGCATCACACCCGAGTCCTTCCACATGATGGTGGAATATTAGTATTAAATGGCACCAAACCAAAACTAATTCTAGTTCTACTTCAGACATGGAATTGGCACAATATAATATATTAAGATGGGAGAAATGTATTGCATAATAACATATTTTAAAGACAATTGTCATCCTGTCTCATACCCGTACTCGTGGTCATTGTTAGTTTGATTTATATTTTGTTTTATTGATTTTAAAAATGTATTCTGTTATATTTTTCTTTTGTGTTTGTTTTGCTTGTTTGTATAATTCCATCTGTATATGTTCGTTTGCTTGTTTTTTGTTTTGCTTTGCTATGCTATACTTTGCTTTATAAACGTTTTGTCTGTTTTTGCATGGTAATTTAATCATTTTATGGGTTGTTTTTGTTTTGTTGATATTGTTTTTTGATTATATTTTTTATTGTCATATTTTTTATGGGGAGGGGGTTTGGGAATCTGGGGGAGTGCATTTTTTATGGTAGAAAAAAAAAATCTTGGGTGAACTCAATTCGTTCTTTGGACATGCTGGATATCCTGACAATAATTGGGGAAGGGGGTTGAGACATAAAACAACAGGGTTAGACTCAGCTTGCTTACGATACTGTAGATGCTTGAGACAGAAGCACTCTTAATTTGGAAATGTCGAATATATGTCCCTTATAAAAATATATATTGGGTTTGTTTTTATGTAAACCATGTTGTGTGGAATGTAGTTTCCGGACAATACTTCGTTAGGTGCAATTAACTCCGATGAATGGTCTGTTCAGCACAGAAGCCTGCTGTCGCTCCAACACAACTTGCAACAAATCACATTTTTTTTAGTTTAATGTTTCTCGCGTTCTTGTGCTTCCGTATATTCAGTGAGTATTTTTGTGATACGCTGGTAATTTTATTTGGCTGAAACTCTGTTCTGACATTGATGCACACCACATTCATGTGGTGGCTTCTTCAGCATTTATTCAGCATTTTCAGAGTTTGAATGCAATTTTACGAATTGATGTTTGTTTGGGTTTTTTTTAAAAAAGGGTAAAATGTTCCCGAAAACACTGTATGTGTTGAAGGGTTGACTAAAGACTGACTGACTGACTGAGTGTGGTTTTACGCCGCTTTTAGCAATATTCCAGCAACATCACGGCGGGGGACACCAGAAATGGGCTTCACACATTGTGCCCATGTGGGGATTCGAACCCGGGTCTTCGGCGTGACGAGCCAACGCTTTAACCATTAGGCTACCCCACCGCCCGTTGACTAAAGAAATTAACTCAGTACCATGTGCCCTGAGTGAGGTTTTAAATGAGTGAGTGAGTGAGTTTAGTTTTAGGCCGCTTTTAGCAACATTCCAGCAATATCACGGCGGGGGACACCAGAAGTGGTCTAAACACATTGTACCCATGTGGGGAATCGAACACGGGTCTTCGGCGTGACGAGCGAACGCTTTAACCACAAGGCTGCCCCCACCGCCCCCTGGTGGGTGTTAAAATACCACACACACACGCACGCACACACACGCGCGCACACACACGCACACACACCCGCACGCACAGAATATTGCAGATTGATATCCTGACATAAGAAAATGATCCAGTGTCCTAATTTTCCTTTGGGTATTATATCTCCCCAAGAACCATATATAGAACCAGATAATGTGTCTGTCTCGAACAAATGTTCCCAAGAAT